TCAGACTAGCTTTCTTGTTTCGTCCATAACTCTGTGCTCCGACGTCGAAATCGAGTACCGTCAGTGGCATTTGAAACTAGACATTCCTACCTTTCCAACAGTTAAAATGCATGTTCTGATTCCATGTATGTGAGCCGAACCAACCATTTAAAGTCGGCTGTTCTGTTTCTCTGTTTTCCTGGAACGAAATGCTGAGGCTGCAACTTGTGGCTCGAATTCGAGCTAGTTGTGTGCCGAATTTCAAAATGATTTCTTCTATGAAATTATAGCTCTATGAATTTATTTTCCAACGCCATAAACCATGCTCAATTCTGAGTTAATTTGAGTGATTTGTGATCAAAATACGGAACCTGCCCTACTCTTGAAAACCCTAACTTTTGGACAGATTTGATGCAAGGCTTGGTGTAGACTTGCTAATTGAATTTTTTGGGTGTTAAACACTTACCAAATGTACCATGAATGTTTCTTAAGTTTTGCCTATACTAATGAACTACGTTTGGAGGATTTTCCTTGACCAAATGTTTGGAATGGAAAACCAAAAAGCTCAAGGCAGTTCTGCCTTAGGATTTTCGAAACTTTGGGTGTTTGGTTGACTACCTTCCCGAAAGTATTTTTCTATGAAAGTTGATAGAGGAATACCCTTTATATAGGAGTATTATACTGCCAAATTTTGTACCAATCCAAGTTCATTTCGATACCCAACTAAGGTCCCAAAGTCGGAAACTCAAATCTGGAAATTTGTTCAGCAGTTTCAAATTTTCCCAAATTTTGAGCTGCCGTATCTCGGTACTCGAAACTCCGTTTCTTGTTCCACTTGTTTTGTTGTAAACTTGGATTACAACACTATTATATTTTCGAATTTCAAAAGCTAGTTTCACTCAAGTGAATTTTACCAAATTTTCAAAGTTGGCCAAAAACCAACTCAAATCTACCTTATGAACCCAAACAGCAACTTTGAGCTCATTTTTGAATGTTTTCCATTTGGAATCTTAGAAAAGTGTATTCTAAGAACTTTTAGTACTTTCAAAAAGGTTTCGAACGGCACCCAGTTTTCTAATTTCTGACATGTAGAATGGGAGATACGATTTTTCAAAGTATCGTATCAAACCTGAATTTTTTTTCCCAAATTCCAAGGGAAGAGAGTTTTCAAGTACTCCTTATTCCTTCAATATTTCTTGAACGTTTTATACTTGATTTCCCAAAATGAAAACTCGGTTACCGTGTACTTTGAGAAACTCCATTTAAATCTCAATTTACGAGTAATTGAGGTTCGTTTTCATGAAATTTCCTTAGATTGTACTAGTGTACAATCTTCCTTGATAATTGGGATATATGAGTGATACTTCACTATTATGTGCTCAGGCGCATACGAGGACCCTCAAGAGGATCCCACGGTGAACGGTTAAATTTCGGTTGAGACTACTTCTACTTGGTGAGTGTCAAGTGTATGGCTACTTGAACTCTATGGACTTGATTCATGCTTGGCTTACCTGATTACATGCTTAGCCTACTTGATTTTGAAAAATGGAGTCGAGTGTGTATTTTATCGCACTCGTTCTCATTTGAAACAAATGACTCATGCTTAACATGTTTTGCCTGGTTTACATGACCTGAAATACATGCTTAAACCTGTCAAATGTTTGAATACATGACATGGTATGCTATGGCTGCATACGTCATTGGAGTGAATCTCCTCGACACTTACATGATACCAGAGGGACGCCCAAACTCATAGGCCGACCTTGGAACTCGAGCCGGCATGGGCTTGGTCGGGAACCTTGGTGAGCCATGAGAATCACATGATAAGCTTGATCTATTTGAGAGATCTTGCTTGGCATACTCGTGGAGTATAGCCTTATAAATGTCGTATGGGCCCGAAGCGGTGTAGAGTGGACTGATGAGAAGTAAGTGGTGATCTACTGTTTGGAAATATCAACCCGGTTGACGGAGAGTCATCGCGGGAAGATATACGAATGAACTGGCAAAGCAAGTGGAACTTAGCTCTTGAGAGCTACTATATCCTTGAATTGTTTCTGCTTACTTTCACTGGCTTTATTAATTACTTGTAATTATCTCTTGAACTGTTATTTGGGACTGTTATCTGGACTACGTGCTTGCATGTGTGTTCTTGGCCTCACGAGCGTTTTACTCACCCTGTAGATTTGTTTTCCTTAACAGGATTGGACTTGGAGAAATGTTGGAGAAACCCCTCTTGGCGTACTCTTGTTTTAGGGTTTCCGTTGCACTTTGGGGCTAGACTTGTGATTGATGTATATTTTGAATATTGATGTATTTCGAGGTCCCGATGTAATGATTGGGTAGATGTTGAATATTGATAAGTTTGAATACTTACGCACTGATTGTATTTATGATATTTAATCATAACGTCTAGTATTGTATTAACCTTGGACGGAAATTGCTTGAGTCCTGGCGAGAGTTGGGCAGGCGTCCCGCGGATACCCTTTGGTTCGCCTTAGGGAGAAGTGGGGGTGTCACACGTCTTCTTGGGAATTACATTGTGCGCTATTATATAGACAATAAGGCGATGTCTGGCATCAAAAACTGTAGCAACAATCGTCTCCTTCCTCGATGAACGGAAAGGTTGGTACTGAAGACCGAACCTTGCCATAGCATGTGTCGGATCCCATCTTTTGTTTGGAGCGACGAAGCCCTTTTTCAAATTCACTGTAGGACCTTCGTCGGCACATCCCAATATTGCTGCTAACCTCTGCCTTGACAAGACGATGCGTGTTCCTCAAAGAAAGGACTCCACCGTTTCACTACTATGCTTCGCCTTGTTAATGATATTTGCATAAAACTCACGCACAAGCTCCGGATAGTAGTGAGCAGGTAGTCGAAGAATTGGCGCCCAACCAAGTTGGTCAAATGCCTGCGAAATTTGAAAGGCACCCTCAACTTCGGCGCTCACATGTTTTTCGAACAAGAACTCCAAGTTGGCATGTGCTTCATACCACTGCTGGTGCTGTAGAGTGGAAAACCTAACACTATCAAATATTCGGGGCTGTCGCGCAGTTCTCCCCCGTAGACATCTAGGAGCAGGTGCAAGCGAAGGAGAGCGTGCTTCCTCTTCAGTTTCTTCATCCTCCGCACTGATGTCCAAGTTTTCCTCAGCCTCTTCACTGCTTGATGAAGAAGAAACCACTTGCCTTTTCCTTCCCATAGTACCTAAAAACAAATAAATCTTTAGCCCATAAATCATACCGTATGGCACACACCGAAAACAGTAGTACATTTGACAAATAAAAAACAATTTAAATAACCTTCAATTCATATCTCTATTTCACGAAGAATCAATTGAGTATTCAAAAAGATCGAACAATAGAGTTTCCCCTTGTAAAGTTGCCAAAAAATTGAGGTATGTGTCACCAATTTGATCAAATTATGTACACTCCATTATAGCACAATCAATGAAATTAGCATCAATCATGCTTATAGCAAGCAATAATTAACAACAATAACACAATAATGGCATTAAACATTGTTAAGTAAAAATTATCGTAATAACTCTAAAATTTAACCAAATTACGAAATATACACAATGCACATGCTAAAACATTATCAACTAAATATTATTAACCATAATCATTGATCACCAGTGGGTTAAAAACATCGTAGGCCAACTATCTAATTCTATCCAAATATAGCTCTATGAGGATCTAAAAGCACCAATAAACCAATGAATTGAGTGCATTTCAACTTGTATACATGCTTCAATAACCTTAATCAGCATAAATGAGGCTAATAACATGTATATACATCAGCACTTTTGCGTAATTAAAAGTTGTCAGAAAATTCAGGAAATTGAAAAATATGAACTTTTAAAATACCAAGATTCAATACAATTTCTTACCTCAATCACGTAGAAGGATCTTTAGTGATGCTAAATATGTAAAAAGCCCTATCAAATAATTTAAACTTGCCCTCCAATTGAAGAAATTAGAATCTGAAAACCCTAGCATTCAATCCCTTCAATGCCGAATGTGCAGGTGTTTGCGATGGATTTTAATCGGTTAGAAAGGTTGTTTGATACTCAAAAGGTGTTGGATTGTTGGTTTTTAGTAAAATTATGTTGTAAAAAAGAAGATTTGAACATTGGGTTCGGTTGGAAGAGAGAAAACGCGAGGCTGTAGAAGAAGAATGGCTGAGGGAATTTGTTCGCGTAAACTTTATTTAAGGTCGAGGAATTAAAACGCGAGAACAATACGCGACCTCATGGTCGCATGTTATGGGCGCATTTTATTCATTGTGGGTGCAGGTTGTAATACGCGAAAAACAATACGCGACTAAATTGCCGTGTGTTATGGGCGCGTTTTATTCTTTGTGGGAGCAGGTTGTAATACGCGAGGAAACAATACGCGGCTATACTCTCCGCATAATGTGGTCGCGTTTTATTCTTTGTGGGTGCAGGTTGTAATACACGGGGACACAATACGCGACTATATTTTTCGCGTATTGTGGTCGCATTTTATTCTTTGTGGGTGCCGGTTGTAATACGTGAAAAAATAATACGCAAAAATAGTGGTCGCATTTTATTCATTGTGGGTGCAGGTTGTAATACGCTGGGACACAATACGCGACATTGTAGTCACGTATTATGTTTCGCGTTTTCTGGTTGTTAGCCTCGGATTGTAAAACGCGCGCACAGTATGCGAACTTATGGGTGCATATTGAGGTCGCGTGTTTCACTTTTCTGTAGTTTCTGCAGAAACTCAATCACAATGGTCTTTTTCACTCAACAAACGCATTTTGGGAAGTGAATGCGTGTACCTAAGTTTTTGTATGAACTACAGGAGAGAATATAATATTTTTAGTTCTTTTTATATAATTTTGTTCATGGGAAAGGACGTGGCTGTGTAATTTAAGGAAAGTTTTGTAATTTTCCTTTAAAAATGATGCATAAGATATGCGTGATTAATTTGTTCTGCTAATATTCGGAAAAAACTTACAAGAATATATACAAAAAACTTACCAATATTTGCTCAATATAACAGTGAGTTATACTATTTAAACAACTACTACACAATTACAGTTTTATTATCATTGGTGTCCAAGTTTTCCATGCGTGCCACATCCTCTTGGCTTGTGAACTCTTTGTGTTCGTCGTGGTTGGTCTAGCATTATTATATCGACTTGAGTAATCTATGAGTCAAGTCTAGCATCAACAGCTTGGGTTCTCTGGCCTTCACCATCATCTCTACCATATTGTGCAGAAGTGCTAAGATAGACATCTGTATCGGCCGTAAGCTCCCCAAAAGGCACTGGGGACCTTGTATGGCCAATGGACGTAGAAGTGCCATGGTGCTCAGTTGCCTGTGAACCTTCATCTAATCCAATTTGGACGGTGGGTTCAAGTGATCGGTATCTACGACGTCTATCACCGCCATGCTGACCTCCATGAATATTTCTAGAAGCACGTTGAACACGCCACGGGTCTGCTGGTTGTGGAATGGCTCGTGGTACTCGTGGAGGGCGAAATGCAAGTCGGGATGACTCTCCTACATGATTCAATGTTATTGATGCAAAGTCCTTCATTGCATTAAAATAATTGCTGTGCTGTTCGTCACTATGTGCTAGAGAGTCCTTAGCCATGTAATATACCTGAGACATAGCATCCATCTGGAGTGCAAATATTGGCATGAATAAGGATAATTAGAGTTACATCTTAAAAATATTGGTACAAGAAGTATTAATATTTGGTTAAAAGTTAGGAAAACCTTACAAGATATTGTGCTCTAGCGCTATCGCCCTGAAAATCCTCCGGAAAAACGGGATGTCTAGTAGGATTTGAAATATATAGAACCGTCCGCTTGCGATACCATTGACGATACTCATCTGATGGATATGTAGGATCTTCAATTACAGCACCGTCGTCTACATGCATATGCTGATCAGTCCACACGTCAATATATGTTGTATACGTAGTTATCCAATCTTGATTCTTCTTACCACGACGATCTAGAGAATGTAGTGTTGCTTAATTTTTAATCAATCTAAGATCAGGCAGGGGCTGATGATATCCAAATTGTCGCATAATCTTATGAAGAAGATGTGGCTCGACAACCTCCCAACATATGAGATACGTGACAGATCTCCAAATATCGCGTCCTCTAGTACAATATGCAGGCAGAGAAGCGAGAACATCTTCCGAATATGGCTACCATATGAACTGCATGACAATAATTAGCTGACAACATACAACAACCCAATGGTACTCAATAATTATCGCAGTACATAAATTTTTAGAAAATTTAGGCAGCATCTCCCCTATAACTGGAAGCAAACTCCCTGCCAAACAATTTATTTTGCGAAGAACAAGCATCATCTTATATATGTCCAACTGACATTGATCAATTTTAAGTATTTGCTCAGATATAAACAAATTAGAACAATAACAATTACATCAACATTTTAGGAAGTGACTGTACCTGAAAATCACCTAGGTCTGTCAACTGATCTCGAAATATGGACACAACATGTCTTGCTACTCTGTGTAGATCAAATTGAACATTCCACCTGCATACAATAAATCATGACTCATCATAAAAGAGTACAATTTGATTCGTATTGTCATTTTGTATCATATATATTTGATATACATACCGAACTCCATATGGACTAGGATAGTGCTCTAACGGCTGCACTCGATCAGGGCGCATTGTAGGTATGCGTTTCCACGCCCATATCTGACTGAAAAAAGTTAAATTTAAATATGTTAACCGACATTGTAGTAATCTTATAGTTAAATTTAGTCGAAATACCAATTAGGGTAATGTACCTGTAGCAAAACTAATGGTCCTGCAATAGCCGATCTAGAGGGAGATGTTGCGCTACACAATGATCGATACAGAGTCGCTAAAATCGCACTACCCCAACTATATTGTCCAACAGTTTCCAAATCTCGTAATAATGGCATATACAGTAGCGAGACTTTATTACCGGAGTTATCGGACAATAAGTGGCCCCCTAACATCAGGAGCAAGTTTATGCGGGCCCGTTATCTACATTGGACATCCGAAGCATCCGGTGGCAGCTCTATATCTAATACTCTAGATAAACACCTCAATTTGAGCCGTTGTCCATCAAAATCTGACATCATTGGAGAAAAATCAATCAACTTCTCACAGAAATTCCTCCAGTCCTCAACACTACGAGATGTATCTATCCCTATAACTGGAGAACCATCTATGGGTAGACCCCACAGGACCTCTACATTCTGTAACGTAACTGTAGTCTCTCCAACGGGGAGGTGAAATGTATGAGTCTTGGGCCGCCATTGCTCCACTAAATTAGTGATCAAGGCATGATCAAGCATCATATATCCACATTCTAATACCCCTTCAAAACCCGCCAATCGAATATACTGTCGAACAGTTTCGGGGATAGGTGTATGCTCCTAAAAATCCCTATCACATCTTCTAACATCAAGCTGATCACCCAAAATATGGCTGTGAAATATAGAATGTGCCTGGTGTACAGTACCTGCTGAGATAATATTGTACACAAATGGGCCCGGATGCAGGTCTGGCTATATAGGAATATTTGCCATACCGAAAATAATAGCTGCAAGTTACATAAGTAATACATAAGACTACACGCATTTGAATAGTAGAATAGGAACTCTTTAACAATTCATTCTATATCGACTTTAGATATGTGAAACTGCTCAAAATAAATCAAAAATATAATATCATGAAAATATATCAACAAAATATATCGTATATAATATACTAATTCCATAATGCCACCCAAATGGTAGGAGTACAATGGATCCGCTGTCTAAAATGCGAATTCAATCTCTAAAATTAGGATAATTTCTTCTATTGTGACCCGACTGATGGCAATTTGTACATCTTCTTGGTTCTTCTGGGTCTCTCTCATCCATCTCATTCCGAATTCTTCTAACTCGTACCCTTCCCGCCCAACGTGCAACATATTTACTTTTATCTGCCTGTAGCTTCCAATCTGGTTGGAACCAAGTATCGGGATATGGCAAAGGGTTAAACCTTCCTGAATACTGCACCGCCCACCGCCTTTTTGTAAACTAGCGATCTACAAGCGCTCCCGAATTATCCCCTCGATGCCTGCACATGGCCATCACGTGCAAACAGGGAAGTCTGTAGCACTGCCACTTACCACAGGAGCATGTTTTTTAAAAATATTTGACCGTTTGTGTATTACTCCCTTTGCCATCCACACGTCGGCCAGTCACAACTTTATACACCCCGGATGAGCCATCGAACTCAACAACCCTGTGGAGTCCCGCTTTCTGATCCGAATTCCTAAACCGCCGCCATATCTTTGGAGGAAATGGATTACGACAATGTCTCGCATCCTCTCTTCTAGTTTTAAACAACTCAACTGTCCGATGAAATGTCATATCAATACAAGTCCGGATAGGCAAATAACGTGCTCCTCTAAATACATTGTTATAACTTTTGGACATGTTGGTTGTAAGAATACCCCAACGAATGTCACCGTCATGTGTTAGACACCACTTTTCGGTTCCAATGTTAGACAAAGAAATCCATGCGTCTGGAAACATGCTCCTTAATTCTCGTTTGAATGCCCGCCATTTGCGCAATTGTCTGGCTCTTCCCATTGCCCAACACAACCTTTTAAGGTGCAGGCCTTTGAAATGAGTCATTAGGTTACTCCGAACGTGTCGTAGGCAAAACTTATGAAAGGTCAAAGGTTCTTGCCAATAATCAAAATGTGTCATGGCATGAATGATACCATTATGCCGATCTGAAATGACACAAATAGGATACCGATCACGGGCCACATGGTATCTAAATTGCTCCATGAACCAAGACCAACTGGAAATAGTCTCTTCGTCGACAATGGCATAAGCTATCGGAATAATCTAGTTGTTGGCATCTTGCGTAACTGCAACAAGTAGTTTGCCTTTATATTCGCCACGCAAATGAGTGCCATCAACACATATAACCGGTCGACACATATGAAATGCATCAATAGCCGGCCCAAAAACCCAGAAGACATACTTAAATGTCTTCACTTGATCCGTACTATCAGAATGGTGTAACCACCTGATCACAGATCCCTGATTTGACTGCATAAGTGCATCAACATATTTTGATAGTTCAGCAAAATTGGAATCCCAAGAACCAAATACAAGTTCAATAGCTTTACGCCTACCGTACCAAGCCGTAGATGTAAGGCTAGTATTACTATTACTCATCAAATCACCTAGACAATTGTGATCGTTCACCAATTTGGTTATTTGCCACAATTCATGTATCTTTTTTTTCACTGCTCGGACACACCAATCACATGGAGGATACGATAAGTCGGCTGTAGTGGTAGTGCTCCTTTCACGTGCAGATTTACATTTGGCAACTCAGGTGTTACTCTTGCTCTCAACAACCCTGACTCCTTATTATGATTCATAGACCACATTCTAATAGCCCTACTAAGCTGTTGTTTGCTCTCAAATCTCATATGGAGACGTATATTATTATTCTCCTTACTGAATGTCACAATGCGCTCCAACTCACTTTCATCAGTGAGTTGGTCGTCATCATCTATGTTTCCAAGGTTAGAGAAGAATTTCAATTCTCGTGGAGCATATGAGAGGTGCCAGATGCATCAAAGGGTTGTTGGTTCTCGAGATTCTGGTGGACTCCACGTCATTCATTTTCGCCATCTGAGTCACTGCTTGACACATCTACCGATTCAGATTTTTCTACATCTTCTATATCATGCTCCGAATCATCATCTAGGAATGTGTTACAGTGACTTGGACTAGCAGTGGAATCGAAGCCATAACAAGCAACATGATTCGGCGATTCTGGATCTCTAAAACTTTGAATCGAGTCAAGACCTTCAACAGATTCAACATCCGTCCTTAAGCCTGATGTGAGCCGTGGCTCTACCGAGTCCCTAACACAATCCCCATGTGGCAATTGTGATACCGATGCTGTCTCTGGTACTACTGTACTAGAGAATGATCGAAACCTTATTGGATTCATGCATGTATGGACAAGCGACATCATCGGTCCAAAATTGGTAATTGGTAGAATGAATGTGCTATTGACTCGAGGATTTTGGACTATTTTCTCCTTCTCGATATAAAGTTCGGCGATGTATGGGACAATTTCGTTCCATACATCATACATTATCTCCAGAGTTTCATAATCCACCACTGGGGAGACATTATAAGAGCTACGGCCACAAGGTTGGCGGAAAAATAAATTTAACTTGAACAACCCCCTATCGACCCCCATATATTGATAAATTCTATCCACCAGCTCATTATATCTAATTCTATTCCGTAATGAGAATGTATGGTTGGAGATACGAGGCAAGTAACAAATTGACCCATCCTCATAGTGTATTTTACCTCCCCAATAAAGAGACACTTGCAAAAGTCTTTCTATAGACATATGTGCGAAAACAATCCCTATTTTGGGGAAAATAAATTAGAATTAGTAGTACAAGACTATGTAACAAATGACAATCCCTACATTTTTAGAAGTTAAAAAGGGGCACAATGGACATATTTATCATTTTGCATGTGTGTTTAAGGTACAAATTAGTAAACAAATGATGTAGTCTGCATATTTGTCCTTTTTACTTTTTCCCAAAACATTTCTCATTTTTTCCGGAAACACTAACCTCGCATTTGTGAAATGCGATGTCTATGAACTCGTATTTCACAAATGCGAAAACCCTAATGCTAGAACTAACTTCAAAAATTGCCCCCCCTTGTAGAATAACTTTTTTTCCATCACAATTTTAGAATATCATATTAAAAAAGCACTTAGTAGCAATAAAATACCACAGAAAGGTTAAGAAAGTAAGGGTACCACGACAAATGGATGGAACAACATTTAAAATCCGTGACCACAGTGAAACGCGAATTGAAAAAATTCAAAAATTGTAAACGTGACCACAAGGTCGGGTATTGGTGGCCGCGTATTACAATTCGCGGCCAATACGAAGAAAACGCGACACACAATACGCGACCATGATATCGCGTATTATTATTTGTGCGTGATTTCCCATTTGGTGTGTGTTTGTGTC